TTATCTCGACCTCATTTAAGTGTTAGCAGTATTTAATTTGCATGTGAGGGATCGACATAATGTCAGTTCCATATATCCCTCTGATTTTTTCATGAGAATTTATGCTAAATCGTGGTGCGATTCCGTGATATCATACCCCCCCACTCTCACACATAAAAGTGTCAGGATAATTAGTCTTCTTCGAACTTCGAATTGCTCTGCTTGCCATTCTAACGGCTTCCGTTAAATATATTTGTCCTCCTGCAGATAGAGCATAGAGCTGAGACGTCTTTAGCGAGGAGATTCATGCTTGCATAGATTTTCTGTAAAAATGTCAACACAATCTCTGTTTGTCACTCTTACTGAATGTATTTTTGACGCTTAATTCGTATGTTGTTTAATGGCTCTGCAGTTCACACGGAGTATCGCACTATTGTTTATCACCTTGTTCACATGTGGACTCACTTGTCACGTTCATGCCACTCTTTTGTCGAAAATAAATAATCTTTTAACTTTCTGGATGCGTTGATTTTGGGCGGTTGGCACGCAACTAAGGGTGTAACGTGTTAATTCGACCATTGACATATTTCACCAGGGACGTGAATTTTTGAAAATGCTAAACACTTAATTTTAATTGCATGACCCGGGTTATATTTGTGTAGATGTTTCTTGAACCTTTCGAGATGTGAGATTTTTTATACCGTTAAATGGCCGTTCATGAAACGTCATGTTTCTGCATTTACGAATGTGGCTTGTAAAGGTAACAATATTGCTCAAATCCACTGCTTAATTTTATGAACCTCATATGGTCTCCTCTTAACACCGTAGAGAAATGCATGGTTTTCCGTAGACGGAAAATATACAGCTTGTAGTTTTGAAACCCTGAATGCAAGTGTAACAGCAGGTCGAGTTCAAAATTATTCGGGAATTAGAAAAGTTTTTTAAAGCCGAATTATACTCTTCTTTTGAGCATAAAATTGGAAGAAGACGTGATTTTCTACCGAATAAATAGAAGAATGAATATTTTTATGCATGTTTTCCATGAAATCTAATTGAATTTTCAAGGACATCGAAAATCAATGAGAAAATGGCATGCTAATTAAGTAATCATTTTGTGCAGAGTATAGATCTTTCATGCAGCCGAAAATAAGTTCTTTCGAAAGCCGACACCCTGAGGTAACTGGATCATTATAGATTTGTGCTGCATCGTGATCAGTTTTACAACACTACTTAATTTAGCTTTTCGAAACGGGAACGCATTTCGAAATTTTGGTTGACATTTCATGAGTTAGCACATCTACTGTATATATAATATATATTGTCTGGCTGAAAACTGTGGGTGTTATGGATTGATTCTATGAAAGATGGGTCTTAATGCTATTTTGCAGAGCACCAGGCAACTCACGGAAAAACAGAAGTACGGAGGAATTCGAGATTCAAAAATACAACGGCGAATAATTCCTAGGTCTTATATAGGCCAAGTTGGATGTGTAGCAAGCAGATAAATCAAAGTTCGACCATCAAAGTGAAATGCCCAGCATTAATTTCTTTAAAAGAAGATGAATAAATAGAAGTGAGAAGGCAGCGAGTGCAGAATAGTACAGTGGAACGAAATGGTGATAGTAAGGTTAGAAAGGGAATGAGCTAGAAGTCCGAGCGGTGTATTTACAGTCGTGTTCCAAAAAGAACGATGTTATTTTGATTACTGACCGGCTTTCAGTTTTTTCAACGAAGACTTTCATGTGAGAATTATTTTGTCGTGCCTCTTTACGTCGTCTGATGAAATCGACAGGTAAGGGAGTAAATTTAATGTTTCATGCTAGTAGCATACTGATCTTCTCCCAACTTCATTTACAATTGTTCCCTTCTCTAGTGTCCCTCGATTTATTACTATAATATCGTCATTGACCCGAATCCACGGTTTTGGTCGCAAGAAACTTCACGTCTTTACTTCGCCTTGTTTCCTTATCATAAAGTTTGTGCATAAAGGGCCTACTTGTTTTCCTGAAGATCGGTGGTTTCAACTTGACTTACGCCCTCTGTTTATGGATTGCGTTTGACAAGCAGCAGACGTGATGGCCGGAACATAAACTTTTTTTCGCCTGACGTTCTAGACTC